GGGGGGGGTTTGGTGTTTAAAAAAAAAAGCCATATAAGGATCAAATATAGAACAACAACTTCATCATAGCTTCATTCTGTCCATGGAGAATCTACATTTCAGGTACGCAAGAATCCGACAAAGGAGTGAAAATGGAAGAAAATATGATTCTCAACCCCCTCCCCTTTTCAATTTAAATTGCTTTCACTCTTCTTGGAAGGCTTTTTGACAAGATGTTGGTTTGAGTGCGTACGTGGCTGTCAAGTTCTTCCGTGACATCATCCAACCACATGCTTTTCTGGACCTTGAGAAATAGTCATGCTAGAACAGAAAAGGACCCCCACCGCCCCTCCCCCCTCCATCCCCGTCCCACAAAGTCCAAAACATCGCAGCATGTCTCAATACTACCGTCCATATAAAAGTTCATCCCTTATCGCACGAGAGACTGCGACATGTCCACTTTCCCTCATCATGTAAATTTCGGAAACAACTCACTTGGTCATGAGACTCTTCAAGTCTTTGTCATCCCCTTCGAGCAGCTCAAACTTGCTGGTCAGAGTGAGGGAGATCTCCGTTTTGGCCAGCTGATTGAGGACGGCATCCCTGTTTGCGTCGCTGCCGTGAACGGCTCCTTCACCTCATTTGAAAAAGGACGTGGAAAATATTTGACACTGGCATCTTGGAGAAGCGACACTGAGCATCCAAATGTGGTGTATGAACATGTGAGTTACCGAGTAACGCCTCAACGTCAGGGACATCTCCCAAATCCTGCAAGAGCTCGTGCAACAGGTCGTTGAGGTCTGGCGAGATTGCCTCCAGGTGTTCCAAAAGAAGCTGGATTGATCCAGATGCGAAAAGAAGTTTCGAGTATGATGCCGGCCAAACGGCAACTTATGATTAGATATACGAGACTTACTGAATGCGTGTTGATGATCTCCTCTATGGAGATGTAGATGATGGGCTTGCTCAGGGTCACCATGTCTGAGTATTCATCAATGTTAAACTTCTCCTCGGGTTCAGGGACATCACAGGCAGACTGGAAAAAGACCCTAAAACAGAAGTCAGGAATAGGTCAACTTTGGGTACGGATAGACATTGCGTGGTTGCAAATTGGTGTTCCGCTTTTGGGCACGTCGAAAGATTACACTGTTTATTTCTCAGTCAATTATGGAGAAGTAAATGTGCAAGAGGTGGATCTGTGAAGGCGTACAATTTGATGCCAATTAGAGATGCACGATAACCCCCCCCACCAAATCCCGATAACTTTGTCTTCGCACTCTTCTGTGCTCGAATTAGCGACGTTTTAGTTGATGTGTCACATCCATCGGGCAACATTCTCATCTTTTTCAAGCAGATTTCTGTGAGTACCAATCTAGCAAACGTTGACTCAGCAAGTGCGTATTGATTTTCGCCTCCACCAAACTGCCTGTCAGTTAAACATTTTCCTGGCCTTGCCAGAGGAACAGTTGTTTTAACGGAGCTGATATTTTTCCTCAAATGTCTTGGTTTTGTTTCTGGAAAATTTTGCTGCATGTTTTAACCCTTTCAGGGACCGCGGGTACTGCAGTGGACAGTTCATCATGTTATCAGGTGACAGGGTGCATGAAAGGGTTAATTGCTATAATGAACTCATTAAATCCCAGCCATTTTCACTGGAGCAACCCCCTCAATCACAGCGTTTTACTGGATTTTGACTGATCTTGCAAGGCCCACAGAATATTTGGTTCTAATGCTGTGTAAACATGGAGCCTACCAAAATAACATTTGGACTCTCTTCTTTCAGCAGAAAAAAAAAATGTTTCTATCTTTTTCCATTCTTCAACAATCGGCATTACAAAATGGCTAAGTTTCATGGAAAAGGCGATTCCTTGGCAAAAAACGGAGAAAAAGAGCTTTTTGTAAAAGCATGCATTTCAATCATGTGAGGCACCACTGCCACCTACTGGTCACTTTTTTACATGACTTACAATGCAAACGGCTTATTCTCATTCACAGATTGCATCAGACCCTCCTCCTCTCTATGACGCAAAAAAAAAGACTTAGACGTACAAATACGTCCTTGGTAGGCGGGGCCTAATTTTAAAAAGATGTACAAGTACGTCTTGTGGAATGAAAGAGTTAAGGAAAAACAAACCAAAAGAAAAAGTCCACGTTCACTCCTCACATTAATTACCCATGCATTAGAATTCAGCATTATTCCTTTGTCAAAACAAATTCTACATTCTCACCGGAACTTCTCGTATGTCTGCGAAATGAAGTTGTTCATGGGCGTCATGTGTGCATTCTCGCCCTCAAACAGCTTGTTGGCAGCAGCATGCTGGAGCATCTTTGCCACAGATCCCAGGTTGCGTCGCTGGTCCACGTGGAGCTGCCCTCCCGCCGACAGGTCAATAATGTCAAAGCCATCGGGAGCGACGATTGCAGGATTCATGTAGCGGTAGTAAAGCAAGTTTCCGACGACCTGCATTGGAAAGACGATGTCACTTGTAGCATTATCTTAGCAAGACAGTGACAAGTACACAACTGAAGGCTTCTTCTACCTTTAGCAGCTCATCTTCTGATGCATCTGGAAACTTTTCGTGGAGGCAGTTCTTCAGAACCTTTGCTACATACCTCATGCCATAACTGCATGCAAAACAAGCGAGGATGAGAACTCAAAATTGTTGACATGTATTGATGCATAGAAAAATGACATTACTGGTGGCTATCACTGTCAACTTTTCCACAATCCAAAAAGGCTGTGCAGTTCAGTCTCGTTTGAACATGAGCACCATCTAGTGGTACACTTGGAAAAAGACATTGGTATTTTGAACTTCGTTTTCAGAACAGACCCTTTTGATGATATTATCAACCGTAGATGATGGAGTCCCTAAATTCCACGCAACTGTATGTTGAGGAATATTTTCCTGAAACTGTTTGACTATTTTCTCACGCAGATGTTCACAGAGGTGAACCTCACCCCCATCTTTCCTTGTAAGTGACTGACCAGTTCAGGGAAGCTCCTTTTATACCCAATCATGGCACTCACCTGTTCCAAACAGCCGTTTGATGAGCATTCCCCAACTTTCTCGGTCGTTTTTGCCATCTGTCCGAGCTTTTTTGTTGCATGTTGCAGCCGTAAAATTCTAAATTAATGATTAATTGCTAAAAACTATCAAGTTTATCAGTAAGAACATGTAACATCTCGTCTTTGTAGTTTATTCAATCATAATACATCAGTTGAACCTGATTCGCAAATCATTGTATTTTGCTTTTATGTTTAACACAACGTCCCAATTTCATTGGATTTGGCTTTGTATTAACTGAAAATGCTGTTTTGGCAAGACACAATTGTTTTGGAGGACACAGATTGGACATTTTCCGGTGCCAAAACTTACGGGATATTATCCAGGGAGGACACAATGGAGTTAAGGACTTTATCTGTTGCAGAGCGAAGTGCCAGACTGGAAGCCTCGAGCCTGTTGCATACTTCCTCATGTGCCATGGCCTGCTCGGGAGTCACCTCGTAGGGCAATTTGCTGATACAAAAACAACAGACGGACAGCTGTGAACATTTTTGTTGCACATTATAATGTTCAGAAGATCCATCTGCAGTATTCGCTGACATCTGGCTGAACGGGAAAACTAATTTGGTTTCAGTGAGAGTGGGAAAAATGGATTGACGTATTGTAATTATGCTATGAAGAACGACAATTGATCCCACCCTTGCCATCGAACCATTCCGTAACAATAGTTCTTTCCTACCTGGCTTCTCCGGTGGCCGTCTCCAGTTGGTTGACCCAGGCTTTGTAAACATCCACAGGGTTGGTGTTGATGCCAAGATTTTTGTCGTCAATGATGTCTTTGACAACAGGAGACAAAAGTTGCCGCAGGGTGTTGTGGCCTCGCGCGCCTCGGTTGAAGCTGACCACCATCTTGATGACAGTGGGATTTCCTGTCACGATGTCCTGAATTTGGTCAACCTTAGACCTGGGGACACAGTAAGAAAAAAAAAAAATAATCAATCTATCACAGGAAATGGGAACCATCTGTCAAACCTGAATTTAGGTGGGACTATCGCATGCATTACCGGATTTCTTCATCGAGAGCAGTTTTGAAGAGTTTGAGCAGCAGATACTCCTCTCGCTGGTTGGAGGCATAGTTGTACAAAGTGAAGATCACAGTGTCCATAAACTTTGTGGACTTATTTTGGGGCATTTGGAAGATGAGCTTCGCCAAGTAGGACGGGTTGGTCTGCGGAAAGAAAAGAAGGATTGTGTCGGACACGGTTGGTGGGTTTGCAGAACCGAGATAACAGATCAGGAAAAGGCCGACCGACGCATTACCTGAAGGAGGTAAAAGAGATGCTGATAGGCCTCCAGTTTCTTCCGCTTTCCTTTACTTAACCCCTTTATTCCCAGTTTGTCTGCTGTGGCCAGGTCATCATTACTGGCTTGATTTTTCATATTCTTCATCGTCTTATTATGACTCACGACATCCTTTCAGCAGAAACGGCAAGACAGGTAAGGTGGTGATACACACTGAATACTTCACATTTCCTCCACCCCGCACATATAGAAAAGAGATTGAGCCACCTGCAGCGTGATCCTGTTCTTCACTAGCAACCCGATCTTGATGTCCATCAGGTTCAAATCTTGCTCCATCTGCTGATTGGAGCGAATTTTGGTGACCACTTCTTCCTTGAGTCGCGTCACATCCTGCTCCTCCTGCAGATCCAAAGCGCTTTGTTCCAGCAAGTGGACAAACTTGCGCACCACCGATAGGGGCGGGTCCTTGGCCCCAGCTGAGTTGGTGGACATAAGAATGAGAAATCAAATATAACCAAATATATGCAAATGTCCATTCAAATAACAGACAAATGGTTCAAACTACATTTTTGCGCAGCGTCCAGTATGCATTATGTTACGCAAATTTGTTGACTTACTCAGAGTTCTATAGTCATCTCTTGCTTTATTGGCCTTTAGAAAAGCTTGGATAGTCACAATGTCCTTCTCCTATGAGCAAAAATACCAGTAAATGCCTTGCGTCAACAGGGCCAATCATGACAAAAACCCATGCTGACTGGAGGAAGACACTGAATTAAAGCGTTACTCACGTGATTTTTGAAGTATTGCAAACGCTGGTTGTATTCACGTTTGGCTTTCCACATTTTAACCAGAGACTGAATCTAAAAGTAAGCAAAACAATACATGTCAATGTTTTGAAATGTTTTAGAGGTCGAACCCCATTTCTATGACCGCGCGTTATCAATGCATCACCTTGACAACTGAGGTGACATTTGTATGAAGCAGTTTCATCCTGTCCTTGTATATTTTTCTCTGTTTGTAACCTCTCCAGGATGCCTGTTAAAAAAATTTTAAAAAGTTCTAATGCAACACATATCAAGTAAGGGCAGCCGGCTCATCTAAAAGTCACTGTAATTGAATGTGAACTGCAGGGGCGGGGGGAACAGTATCCAACTATGGTCATGGGCACTACCTGCAGTCTGACGACATGAGGTTCTTGTCGACGCAGGTACTCCATCCTTTGAGCATGCCTTCGTCTCACCAGAAAACCTCGGACCTTGGCCTGCAGCTGCGTTACTAAGGACTCATTGGCCAACCACAATTGTTCCCGCTTATATCCTGCAGTCACACAACTGACTGCAATCTACGTGGGATAAACAATCATCAATCATACTATCAGATAAACAAATTTGCATCATGGGCGGCAAGGTACCTGAATTTCCTCTTTACTGAGGTGGCCACGATTGCCTTCAAAGTTTTCTGGCTCCTCCCAGGCACCTTGTCCAGTCTCCAGGTTATAGTAGTAGTCATATCTATCGTTTATGCGATGTTTCACCCACACGCTCCCAGTGCCACCTTAAGAGAAAATGTATCGAATTTGGAAAATGAAGTTCCTACCCAAATTCACATTTCTTCCACAGATTTCTGAGTTTAACTACCTTGAGGTGCCATCTTTCCTTGTGATTGTTCCAGTTCAGCCTGGTACACATCAGCACATTCAGCGAGTACCAGTCTCAGCCCTGCATTTGGTGATTGCAGAGCCTGTAGTGTGTTCTCGGAGTCACCCTCGGCCACCATCTTGTTTATGTCAGCAACTGCTTTAGCCACTGTCAAAACAGAGGATGACTGAGTCAAAGGAGGAGGTGTTAAGTGTTAAATCAAGCATGACATCCGTCTAGGAAGAGCGGGAGTAAAGTTCCACAGAATAGAGATTTACGCCTCTATTCTACGGGATGGACGTGGAAAAGGGACAGAATGTCACAATGACTTGGTCACTAGCAGACAAATTAAACATGTTACACCACATACGCATGTCACAAAATCCATACAAATGACTAGCTTAAAATTTGGGGTGAAGCAGAGCAAAATCCTAATTTTGCATTTTTCTGATGAAAAGAAAAAACTTGCATAACGTAAATGTGGAAGCAAAGAGCAGCAATTTTTAAAAGTGTTAAAAAAAATTAAACATTCACTTGTGAAAGCCTCCTCGGCGTCCTGGTTGGCTGCATGGATAGCCTCTTGGATTTGATCCAGCCACAGTACAGCAGATTCATCTCCCGAGTTCTGCAGAAGACCAAAATACTGTAAGCTGTGGCATTTTCAGCCAAGTGTGGTCAAAGTAAACACAATTCCTGAATCAACCACTGTTTGTCTATATGAAATCACAACACAGGAATTACGAATCCCTGAAAGTCATATCCGTTAATTCACTCAGCATTATGCAAATCTTCATCCAGTATTAAAACAACAACAAAGATACATTTAGGCTGCTAATGTAGCTGCAGGCAGGACAAATTTTCCCATAAAGAAAACTTCACATCCTTGAGCCATTCTACTCTTTGGTTACAATCCCATAAAAACATTTGAGCCTAACTCTTGATGCTAAATTTAGCAAACTCTGGAGAGGGATAAGTCGATCCATGACCACTGGCAGGAAGGAAATGGTCATTAGCTTGGGTCCTTTTATAAAAAAATAAACATTGTGGTGACTGAAATTTCCCACCCAATTCTTCTAATAGAGTAGATTCTAAGCACAATTTATTATCCATCAAAAGAATATGGGGTGGGGGGGGGGGGAAGCTAATTGCCTTTTATGCAAAACAATTTCTATTGGAACACAAACAAAAAAGTAACTTAATGACTGCATAACCTATTTTAAAGCAGAGCGACAAATGCTTTGCAACACAATATTCAGCACCGACGTTCTTCTATTGCTTAATCAGATGTTTGTACAAATTACATCACTGACAAGTATTTAATGACACCGTTTAAATATCACAGCAGATGCTAAACCTTGAACTTGTATCCTCCCACTCAAGTGAGTCAGTGAGTAGTGACTGGCGTGGGCGGCAGGGAATTTTGTTTTCAAGGCGGGACAGGAAACGTGCATGCAGGAGTGAACAAACAGGGAGACTTTTTTTTTTTTCTTCTCTGAGGTAGCCAAGCTTGAGTATGCATCACTGGCAGTTGTAACGCTGCGGCGATGCCCCAAAGCAAAGTTTATCGGTGGATAACTGCTGTACACCAAACAATATTCTTTTTTTTCTGCATTCGGTAAATATGGCGGACATTTTAGTCGGACTTATCATTTGTCTAATGGCTGTGCAGACCATCCAGGCTGATGGTAAGTATACTTTGAACTATTTCCTCTCCCTTTTTTTTGGAAACTGCTTACCTTTGGGACGATTTGACCCAAACCATTAAGTCGGAGGACAATTATAAAAACATAAGCGACTATGGTTGAAACTCCCTGCTGTATTTTAAATAATAGATTTCAAAATGACAAACATAAATGTCATTTACTTGTTATTCATGAATTTCAGTTATATGAACCACATGGTTCAAGACTAGAGCTTCTGTTATTTTATTTTTTTCTTGAGACTATATGTTAAAAAAAATAAAATAAAAAAAAGAAGTTTGCTGTAGCTCTGAATAAACACTGCTTTTGTTCTCATGTAGGGAATAGAACTAGGACCCCAAACAGTACACAACCTGAAGTGTGTCCAAAATCTTTCAAGGGCAAGCTCTATCAACGCAATCTCACAAAGCAGCAGTTAGCTGTCCGCCCGAGTGGAGACCCCTGGCTGGATGTGGACCCGGACGACGCCGCAACAGCCTACGCCACAGGGCTCTTAAGCACCTGGATCCTTCCTATAGCTTACATCTTGGCCATGATTGTGGGTATCCCCTCCAATGCCTACATTCTGGCCTTCCTCAGACTAAGACTTCAAGCAAAGTCCTTGTCCACGGTCGTGCTTTACCTGAACCTGGCCTTGTCGGACCTGCTGCTCTTGCTTTCCCTGGCATTGCGCATTCACTACCATTTTAGTGGAAACAACTGGGTATTTGGGGAAATCTCGTGCCGGCTGATGACAGCTTTGTTTTACGGCAACGTCTACTGCTCAGCGCAAACGATAGCCTGCATCAGTCTGAAGCGCTACCTGGCTGTGGTCAAGCCCTTCTTGTATAGACGACTGGCCAAGACTGTGCTTGCGGTCTGGGCTTGCTTGATCGTGTGGTTCCTATTTGGAGCGGCTATCGTACCAGAGCTACTAGTGAGGCAAAGCTATTGGCTTGCCGAGCTGGGAGTCACCACCTGCCACGACGTGCTTCCCCTGGAAGAAAAACCACATTCACTGCTCGTGCCCTATAGACTGATGCTCGTTTTCTTGGGCTTCGTAATCCCCTTTCTGATTTCCATCTATGCGCATGTGTCGGTGGTCCACCATCTCGGACAATCAGGGTGTAACTGGAGACCGTTTATCAAGATCAGCACTCTGGTTTTTATCATCTTTGTGGTGTGTTTCTTGCCCAGCGGGATCCTACATATCGCACACTACGCCCGCTTGCTTTCCAGCGGGGATGACAAACTGTATGGATATTACAGATGTGCCGTGTGTCTCTGCTGCTTCCACAGTTGTTTGGATCCCTTCCTGTGTTTGCTCATTTCTAAATCGGCCGCATCAGAGATACAATTCATTTCCATCCGCAGGATCCCGGAGAGGCTGGCTGTTAAGATATGCGACTGAAACGGCTTCGCTTTACAGGACCATTGTCGGGACACAGCGGGGAATCACAATCTCGGAAACATCCCACGCTGAGAAATAAACAGGGTGGTACACGACGACAGTTAAAGTCTCTTAGTAAAAATAGATACTGTATGTACAGCACTTCGACTGGAATGTTGAAAGAACTGTTGATTTTGAGAGCTAACCAAATGAGAGTTGTGTGGTTAGATGGCAGAAATGCTAAATATTTATTTTGTATTAAAAAAATAAAAATAAAATAAATCTTTTACACACACTTGTAATGCATCACCGATTTAAAGATTTCAGAATTAGTGAACTAAATGTTCATTTGAGATATGGCAATGGGTTAGATATGGTTTATAATTCGAGGTGCATTGTCATGGACGGCAAAAATGTTTCTGATGCAAACATTTTTTTTGTACATGCCAACAAAGTTCAAGATAATATTGTGTCATTAAAGTTAAATAAAACATTTTAAAAAACCCTACATCCCTTTCCCTCCACAAAAAAAAAAAAAAAGTAAAACATGGAGGAGATAACATTTGCTCATGATGAGAGCTGTTCCAAATTAAGCTGTGACGTTAAGTGCAGTCATAAAATCTTGCAGGTAAGAAAAACAACTCAAAATCCGTTTTTACCAGCATTCATATAAATACATGGAGAAATCATAATACCTGGCAGAGGCGTTGTTTGATATAGTGTAGGACATCGTGGTAGTGTTTGGCTGTGACTGGGTTCACCCCCGTCAACTTGGCAGTGGGAAGGAGCAGGGCTGCAAGTGTCTGCTGATGATCACCGGAGTTCAATGCCTCATTGATCTCAGCTATTGCTATGATTCCTAAAATTGATTATCCCATGTATAGATATTGTCAATGTTTATGATCAAGTGCAACATACGACTTAGTTCGACAATAAGAAATTTGTCTGAGGTTCTTACGTTCGTGCTCTTCGAGGACCTGAATGTTGACAGCGTCAATGCACTTTTGAACATCGTTCCAAGTGAGGAACTCGAGGCCCTTTGCAAGAGACTCCGCCCGCTGCTTGGATAGGGCGTCAGCATACCTGAGGGGAAAGAGACCATTGTCGAATTTTCAATACAGTATTTTCGATTCAATTTTGCTACATTGGCGCTCAACACAATTTCATCATTTAAACGAACCGTCCAAGGACTTCGAAAAGTACCTTGAGGAATACCGAGGAGTTATCCGGGGTCCTGCTATGTTGTCATTTATTCTTTCAGTCAATGTCACTTTGCATTGCAACTACCAATCGTCTACCGATTGACGGACCTGTTCAGGTTGTCTTGATCCATGTTTGTGAACCCCATCGGCGAGTCTGTCAGTTGCTCGATCACAGCCTGTGTGTCCTTGGTGTCCAGAACCTCATTGAGCACAGCTACAGCCGACAGCATTTCCACAGCCACGCTCAACTCCTCGTGGCTCAGGCCAGACTGAACGCAACATACAATGTTGGAATCAAACGAATGACATGACATTTCACCGCACTGACAGACAAACGACATGTCGCGATGAATCTACATCTGAGCAAGAATGATGTCATGTCTTACCCTCGCCCCTTGTAGTTGCAAACTAAAAAGTTCATTCTGATAGAGACTGGCAGCGGTTTGGTAGACGATTGGCAGTTGAGCCTCAGGGTTCATGAGTTCCTGCACAGTCGCCACTGCATCGCCAAGGCGAATGGCAGTATTGATCGCTGAAACTGCTTCAAGTTCTGGGCAGAAAAAACAAGGAGATTCAATGATAAGAGGTTGAATTTTGAGCACTGGGAGACATGGGGAGTTCTTCTACGTGAACGGGTATTGGTGCTTACTTCGCCTTTCGGCCTCTGCAAAGTCATTGCAAGAGCTTAGAACTCTTTGAATCTCATCCTTATCCACCAGAACTGCCTTGTTTTCATCCTGCATGCAATAAAAACGGTTGAACGCCAATGTGGAAATGATGGCAAACATGAATGGAGCGTTTGTTGAAACTTAAGTTCGAGCGGCAAATTAGTATTTCTGGGCCTATTTCAGTGGCAGCAGATAATACTGGGCTGAAGGATTGGGGGGAAAGAACCCATATTGTAAATGTTCGCCCCTCAATATTGCAATTCCATATTTTATTTATTTATTTATTTGTAATGTGCCCTCTGTGGCTGCTCGGTAATGTAGAATGGAGGACACAAATCCCTTTTATGCCAGAACATTTTTTTCTGTGTAACACTGGAATTTGGTAAATTTCCACCGCAGCAATTATTTATTATTTTTTATGTCCTCTTTTCATGTGTCTGAAAAGATCAACGAATGCATGATGTGAGGAAATTGAAGTCGTTTTTATTACAAAATGTAACCCATGAGTATTGTTTTCTTTGGCTGTCCTGCATTTTTTTTTTGGGCACATGAGATTTTCATATTTGTTTACTTCATTTGTTTTAATGATATCATTCAACTTTTGCATTTTTGTTACAGAGATAGTGTTCCTGACAATCCCAACCTTTGTGATTTGAAAATTGTATTCCACTACATCGTGATGTAAATGTGATTTTGATTCATTGTTCAGCCCTACTTTGAATTACTGCTTGGAAGATCACATCAGTACTTTTAATGAACAGTGTGGACATCAAATACTACATCAAGTTGCAGACTGGGTGGCAAAGACCATACAAACTCAAAATCAGGCTCACCTTGGATTTGTGCAGACAATACGTGGTGAAGTGCTCCAGGTACCAGCCGTGGTTTATGTCCTGCACGCCGAGCAAGGCCAGCGCTTGAAGCCTCAGTGCAGCCATAAGAGAAGCTTCATCCTGGCTACACACTGCCTGATTTACCTGCCTTACGGCTGCTTGGACTGCAAACAGAAAAAAGCAGAATTTTCTGACATGCCCACAGTACGTGTTTTTGAAACAGCTGTCTCGTGTACTTTTGAGTATAAAAGCACTGAATGCTAAAAAAAGGTTGATGCAGCAGCGTTTATGATCAGGGAAGAGGGTTCGTCCTTACTGTTGACAAAGTCTATGCAGCTCTGGATCTCCTGCTGTGTTAGCAACTCCTCATAAACGTCTCTTTCCTCACTACAAAATGTGGAGTACTAGGAAAAACACAAAAATGACATTTTTCATATTTCTGAGTCTGGGATGTTTGCGTGCATGCGTGCGTGCATGCGTGCGTGCATAGCCCAAGTGAACTCCCTTTTGTTTGTGGTGTCTTGAGAAATAAAAGCAAAATGGAGACAAGTTGCCTTGTAGTGCAAGTGTTAATATTTGGTGAGGAACAGCTGACACTGCAGCAGCTGGAATGTGCTGGCAAGGCTCATAGAGCGAGTCATTGCGGGCAACCGTTTTCTGGGCCACTACAGTCGATTCCATTCGACACTGCAATTGGAATCGTTTGCTTTGCCTTTCAAGACTTTCACAACTTTCAAGTTGTGACGTCTTACTCTCAAATACTACCCTGAGCAAGCAGAGTTTTGTTTGGCGAAAGAAGACAGAGCAAACAAAAGCAAAAGACAACATTGATACTTTCAACAACCGCCAAGGAGGTTCACTTTCAACAGCTGTGAGTTCATCAATCAGAAGGGTGGCGTAAAAGGGCTAAATCCATTCCATTTACGCTAATCTGGATAAAAGGGACACTGGCAAAGTGTGGATGCAGTTTTCTTGGGGGAAAGGGGGGTCCCCTTACTGTACCATAACATACAACTCTGCATTATTTCACTTCTTATTAAATAATGCATTCAGCCTAATAACTAAATCCAGCCATGTGCAGTATTTATGATATCACACTTGGTGATGATCAAATATAGGATTGTTTAGATTCAGTGGGCGGATGCAAATTTACAGAGTGCTGTTAACTTTAGGTCGTATTAGGTGGTTTAATGTGCAAAAGACATGCAGTCAATAACTACAATTGACTACTTTCTTCCTCTTACACTGCCCGAGGACTGATCTTGTTTACGGGTCTTGGCCTGGCTCAATGTGTCGTGATAGTCTTGCGCCAGAGCTTCCTGGGTGTTCCTCAGCATGGCGTTTGGATTTGTCAGCGCCGACATGGTCGCAGATGCCTGACCCTTGTCTATTGCCTCGTTGATGGCAAACACAGCCGCGTGCACTAAGGACGAGAGCAACAAAAAAATATTTGTGTGTGTGGATAAAATGCACTCCATGTCCACCGGGTAGAAATCGCGACAGGAGGTAAATGACTTACATGCTGCTTCATCCACCGAGAGCTCGTTGGCCAGGATTCCGCCAATTTTACTAAAAGCTGGCATTTGGATACCATACTTGTCCAGTTCACTCCTCATGTTACTGATCTCTTCCTCTGGGAGACGCATACAGACCAAGAGAAGACGGTCGGCGATTCGTGTGAATTTTAAAAAAGGAAAGCAACTACTTCATTACAATAAGCACAGGAGCAAGACAAAGATTCAAGTTAAAAACAAGCAGGACATGAATTCTATTCAATTTTATGTCGTGTGTTGTTCTGTTGCTACCTGTAAAGGCCACCTTCCCTAAAAGGTCCTGGATCTGCGGTGCAATGCCCAGTTTATACAAGTATAAGCTGAAACAAACAATGTGCACAAGATTAGCACTAAAACTTGAGCAAGCACTCCAAGCTTATGACGATCTGCAGCTCCGAACAGCAATAATTAACTGAAAGATTTGTATGCTTTTCCGTGACGAATCAAGATTATTCCTGGTTGGCATTATTGTTTTTGGTGGATTTTTTTTTTCCAACCAATAACACACAAACACCACAGGGAGGTAGTGTTGTCTCAGGATTCCACTCGGGCTTGCCCTCTGTCTACTGGTCAATTAATTCAACAGGTAGATCCCCGCAACCTTCATCAAACTTTCATCGGCCGGCGGGTACCTGATAAGTCCGAATGAATTATGGATACTTAAGGGAGGTCTGGCCACTCAAACAATAGCTGCAGAGGCAGATTATTCTGCACTTTGGTCAGAGAGCGTGCGCAAACATGGAATGGCCTCTGTCCCTGACACATGGACACCATTTCATTCATTCTGAGAGACAAACACAGAAACAGCTGACCAGCATTAACAGTGACTGAGGAGATTGAAACGCGATCAGCTGATCAATCACTCAGAGCAACTGGCCTCAAAAGACGACGCGTTCTATTTGTATTTTTCTCCGCATCAAGCCATTGTGTGTGTGTTTTTACCAGCAACATCTGTTCTATTATAAAATAATTTCTGCCCATATTTGCATTGTTGTTGTTTAACTTATTTTTTTTTCCCCACCGCATCTGCTGCTTTGACTCCATGTGTGCACGCGTTTGTGCACAGCGAAGCAGAGCAGCCTCGTGGGCCTCCTGCTGGAGTCGCAGGAAGGAAGAAGTCGTGTGTGCATAAGTTGGGAAGGAAACCAAAATCTCAAAGGACCTGACAAAAACACAATCCGAGTTGCTCACGTAATCTCTCTTTATATCTGTCCTGTTGACCAGATGGGCAGGCAGATAAATTTGACGCTTCATTCATTCAAGTCATGAACCTGAAGATTACAAATATATTTGTACGTAGAACTTACTCAACTATAGAGCAGCATAACAGAGAAGCTCATTTGCATGCTTTACGTTATTGCACCCAACTAAAAGGGGGGAAATGGTCAAAAACCGACTCCATTTCTTGCATAGAAATGGTTGTTGGCTCTCTGGTGAGCTTTCCCACCCATCAAGAAAGAAATTAAACAATTGAATCTTTTATTTGCCTATTTTTGAAAATGTGTCTATGAGCGCGACATTCTTCATTTCTACCCCGCTGTTATGTCATCGATAGTTTTCCGGTAACCGCAAAAGTCCATTGTTTTTACCTGGGAGGGTGGTGAATGGGTTCAAGTGTTTGAAGGAAGAGTACTTCCGATCTCAACCGCCAACATGGCGGAGGAAACAAACAATGGACTGATTACGCGATCAAAAATTAAAGTGCGAATGATTTACACAAACGTCCCGACTTCAAGTTTGTCAGCCTATGACTTTGCAGCCGGGCTCGGCAAAGATCTCCCACTTTCAAGCGGCAACCAAACATGGGGGAAACACATTCAAAGCAAAAACGTATACTGAATGGATTATTGCTGGATGCAATCCTGTCTCACGTACATATTCCATTTTTTAATAGGATTAGTTGGTGGCTCAGTCAAGTTGTCGACGCGGTGCGGTTGGGAGGCAGTTGTGTTTGCTCATCATTTGTCTGCTAAATGTGGCACATATCCTGTTCCGTACATCAATTGACACTGGGCGTATAATGTCTTAACGTTCGAAGTGCTGCCTCAACGAGCGCAAAGTTCCCAAGGAATTCTTACCTTAGTGCATGTATGCAGTAGACCACCTTGGGCATGTTTTTGCGATCATACACATCTGTTGTTTCTGGGTAGAAGATCTGTAAAAAATATGCAATTAAATGTACTGGGTAGTACCGGTATTTTTCAAAAAAATTGTTCACTGTTCTACTGCACCCAGTCGAGGGCAAACCATCAAAAGATGTTCATTATGTGGCGTTTAGCCACCTAATGACCAAAGTAATCAATTATTTGGATCTCAAGTCTATTATTGTGTTGCCTTACTGACAATTGGCGAGCAAAAGAACTCTTGCCTCCTCTGCCAAACACAGAGAGAGAGAGAAAAAAAAAAAGTGACCCAGCATCACATGCTGCTGCACTGATTAGGGACTTTTTCCATCCTGTCATGACTATTAGTCACCTTGTCAACATTTTTCAGCTACATCTCACAGGGGGTCTTAACAAAACACTTCCAGTCGCGTTTTGGATTCGTAACCTCAGCTTTAACACCTTGGAGCATAGCTTACGATGTTCAGTCTTTGCCTTGTATGAATTGAATTATTTGCAGTGCATGTGACACAACATAGAAATCCCCATTAGCTGAATAGCTGGCATCATCAATGTTATGTTTCCCGTTTACTGACGCAGTGTACTGTGTGCAGGACCGACACCGAACACGCGACCTGTACATAGAGGTGTTCCATTACTTTTGGATGGGGCCTTGGGATTTGTTGCGACCTCAACCGATCGTAATACAGTAAATGTGTCTTTCCGTAAAAGACGTTGCGGTTCAAGTCAGGCTGTGTACTGGAGATACAGTTTCTACTCTGCATATAAAGTATGTGGGTGTTTCCAAGAACAGGACAGCAACGTCTGGCTGTGCACACGTCTTACCTTTGGTAGGCCCACCGACTCCATAGCCCTGAGCCACTGAACTGTGTTGTCAGTGTGCCTGAAGTGCAATCCTTTGCTCTGAAAGGAGGGGAAAAAAATGGAACATGACCTAAATTCACTGAAATGGAATTCTAATGTTCTGCAGTAGGGCAGCTCATACAAAATAAAAATAAAATACAAACATACCTTGTACCGAGCCTGATCTCTGTCATAGATCCTTTTTACTGTCACCATTTTGGGGGCAAAGAAGTTGGCAAGTTTGCCAAGGTAGACACCATTCCTCAGTCCCTCCTCCAGTTCTGTGGTCGTGGGGAGGTCTTCTTCCAGGCAAGCTTCCATCCACCTAACAACACACAAAAACTTAGCTTTAAGCAAGAAGGAAGCTGCTTTTTATACAGTGGTCTAAATGTTCAGATAAACTAGTAGTAGTTGTAGAGGAGGGGAAAAAAAAGAAACTTAGACCACAACTGTACACAACTGACGCTTCAGCTTTGTCGCTCAAGTCTTGTTGAGAAAAGTTAGAATGTTGACTGTAATCGCTTTATATACAGTTGAACAGCCTGAAAGTTTAGAGCTCACAATGATAAACCATTCAGGCAAGAAAGATGTCCTGGTAATTTATCCAATATGTAGGCTGGTGTTATTGTTGGACTGAGAGGTTCCATCATTTCTTGTGATGTTTCCAAATGCGGTCACCGCCCGAGGAGAAATATTGAAGTACAAGATTTGTGAACTGTCTTTCACCTGATATGTGAACAGCAGCTTTCCCCTGGCACTGGGGACTATTTTCTTCTAAAGGGTTGGTAAATGATTTGTTAGGTTGCGAATGATGCTGGTTTGAAAATCTGTTACACATTATCAGGCTGGCTGGAGTGATGCCACATTTCGAGTCGGAGCTCCACCCCTGCCAGAATGTCTCTTTGCTGCTGGAAATGTGGATTTGTGTGCATTTTCTCACCTCCTCGCGACAACAGAATAACGGATTCGCCAAAACTTGCACGGTGCTCAGTCGCTTTGCCTCAGGCGAACCATCTCTTCTCTTTGTCACTAAGCAATCATGCCTTTACTCCCACACAAAAGGTTAATCCGCCATATGTGCAAGATCATGTGACCCAAACCCAGAAACCAGGTTAGCGGGCTTCCTGTGTATGCCGCGAGAGCAAGCAAGGCAATGAACGGGTTGATGACATGATTGTTTGAAGACCGACTTGCTAAAAAAACATTGTGTTAAAAAAAAACAAAACAAATGACATTGAAGATGTTTTAAGTTCTCACGGGTGCGGTCATAGTCCAAGTTTTTTCGCACATTTTACCGAATGTGGAAGTAGAGTTGTGCATCTACTGGATAAAGATGAATTAACGTGGAAGTCACGTCAAAGGTGTTCTTTGCAATAATATGTTCGGCATGCCCGCTCTCGTATAAACACTGCATTCCGGTGAATTTTGCGTCGATGGATAAAAAATTAAGAAGACTAATTCAGCATCTCATGGTGCCGCCATTTTGACATGATACTACCCTCTGTCGACTGGAATCATCATCAAAGTGCCCTTGTTCTCACACTACGAAGGTCACGTCTCACATATTCTCGGGGTTTGGTCACGTTACATTTGCAATGTGAGCCCAAGGGTACTTTGGCGTCAATTCCAGAGGGCAGGATAATATCAAAATGGCTGCACCCTGAGATAGCTGAAAACGGGAATTTGGATCCTCTTAATTTTTATTCCAACAATGCAAAACTGACTCAAAACACCATGTTTATAGCTGCGGCACATAGAACATCGTCTTGCAAGGACACTTTTGACTTCCACTTTAAAGTACTCGAAAGACCTCCCCTGATACGATGTCATCAGTCAGCACATTTTCGGACAACAGTACACGCTTTTAAACGAAAGGGGAACGCTGATGACGATGGAAGAGAACCTCAATTATTAATATATATGAAATGAGACATTTTTCAGGACCATTCCAATTCATCCTTCCGATATGAGAATATTATTTAATAGACTGTCTTTCTGATAAATATTAGAATCACAGAGCAGTAGTCGAAGTCACCAATAAGAAAGCTACCAAATACCTGTTCAAATAAATAAACATCTTAATTAAAAGCACATACCGAGATACTTAAGATTTGTGAGGGCAACGCGTCTGGCAGGAACATCCTGCTTGTGAAAGATCACTTCTTGTATTTAGAACAATGTAGGGGAGCGTGTCTCCCAGAGGACGACGGACTAGTTCCAAGTTTACGGCTATCTGAGCAGACTTTCCTGTCATTGTCCAACCTGTGGCCAACCAAGAAAACCCAAGCAACAATTTGTGTGCCACAAGATTTTTCCTCTCAGCAGCGCAACCACAATGATGATGATGTTGCATTGAAAGCACATATTTTCACATTAGAAGACAATCTGACAGCACAAACTAAAACGTCACACAAGGTAGTGTATAGACTCTGAAAGAATGATGACCTGATCTTAATTCACTGACAGATTTGCAAAGTCAAACGTGAAACCTCGACCCGTTTAGCTCAACTCAAAGCTATTATTCTGCAACAGGCCATTACAGAGGTAATAGTACCTTGTGCCATGCAATGGAACATTCAATTGTTACATTTTTACATGGCGCTGGCATAAATAAATGAACAAAGACACATGATTAGTGGGAAATCATTTTTGGTGGCTCCATATGGCGGAAACAACCGCATGAGCTTTCGAGAATTTAACTGCGCATCAGGGCCCGTCCCTATGAAAATAGCCTTGCAAGTCGGACTACTTCTTGCAAATGCTATTTTCATCTGAACTATACACTACACTGGAGATGGGTGGAGTCAAGCCTTGCTCAAAGAACATCAACTGCTGACCCCAGAGCGTAAAGCCTTATCCCTTGCTCTCCCCGCTTGGTTCGAAATCTTAATCCTAATCCAATTTGACACCCTTTTCCAGAAGAGAGGAACAATTCTTTCGTTTTACAAATGACAAGGAGTACAGTTAAGTGAGTGGTAGAGGAAGTTAGAGAATGAAACTGTCGACTTGGAAGGAAGCAGCTGTTTTGGTTTAAGGCCTCTCGGGACAGCGAAGCAAGACTCCCTCCCACAAAGTTGATCAAGCACACTCAAAACAAAATAATAACCCCGGTTCATAAAATAGTTAATGAGGTCTGTGCTTATAGTCAAGCTGGCAGAAGACCGACAATCTGATGACAAGGCAAATAATAAAGGCAAAGGAAGCTGTGAGATACTGTGCAGAAACGAAGAATGACAGATGTCAAAAGTCAGTTACAGTTTTTCGCGCGGAAATGAGTGGCATGAAAGGAAGTGGCATGTTTCGAATCACGTCCCAACAAATGTGCCCATTGGTGTTTCGTTAGAATAACTAACTGAAAACATACCGATACTACTGTATATGGTGCCTTATATTCCAAGTGTGTGATTTGAGTCTCTCATGAATAGTCGAGAAGTGAGAGAGCTTTTCCGCAAAGTCATCAGAACTCACGTTAGCAGGAGCGTGTGATCATCTCACATGGATGCTAATTCTGTGCTTACCTGTTCCGACAGCTTCATGCAAGCATGCTTTCTCCTCGAGCAACTTTGCACAGCTCACACACCGTTGTTGTTACTCTTCTTCAAACATCCTAACCACTCCATATTAATAAAATACTCAGTATTCTTCCAATACACATGCCTCTTTTCACCCGATGATTTAAGGACATCTGGCAGATCGTTTACGAATGCTTTTTTGTTATTTTACCGTTTGGCCTCCTCCAGATGACACAGGTACTCGTAGGCGATGTTCTGCCGTCTCCTCTCATCCATCTCCTCTGCCGACAGCCTCTCGTCATCCTGAATGGCTGCAAAAATTAAAATACAATGCTGTTACCCCACTTTCTTATAACAAAATTGACCAACATTAGACTGAACCCCAGTTGTGAGTGACTAAAACTTAAGTGATCATGTATGTAGAGGAGATGTGGTTTAAAGATAGAGATAAGATCGGAAAATTTGTCTCACATGAATCAAAAATTGTTTTTGTCAGTTTTGATTCATTCAATATGATATGTTATGCGAAATACACACAAATTGAATGACAGTTTTATTTACAGGAAATATCATTTGACTGTAGAAATTAATCGAGTCACAAATGTCTTTCTCAAAACCACGACACAATATCATGCATTTCTGAACACTTTTCGGACACCAACAGAAGTGGCTGATTAATCTTTGTCAAAAGAGTTTTCAGTGGATTGTTCGGAGGTCAAGAAGCACAGGGAAAGTCAATTTCATCCCACGCTCTAGTGAACGGCTGTGCATGAGACGCAAAATGGGCGGACCCGAAGTAGCCTGAACTGAAAAGTGACTTCTGCTGGGACTTGACCTTATTTACCTGCATCTTAATGAGTGTGTTTTACAGCGGCCTAATCCAACCACCTCTGTCTGAGGGAAGGCTTAATCCTGTGGGGTGATCAACCTCCTGAATTCTTGGGACTTTTAATATACTGGTAATCTATCAAAATTTTCACATAGAAAAAGACCAAGACATTTTATCATTGTGATTGGCTCTCATTAGGTTGAGCAGGCAGGTGTACCTAATGTTTTAGTGTGTCAGTCCAACGGACACCTAATTTTCACAGATGATATAAAGTCATACACTGGTTGTGTGCTCACTGCTGCCTGATGCAAGACAAAAAGGTTAAACCAGTTGACTGATTAGCCTAAACAAAGTAATCCAATGGCCCCGGAGGAGTAAGATCAACTTTCGTTTAATGTTTCCAGTAAAAGAAAATAAGAACTAAGTGTATTCTATGAAATATAGCCTTTACATGAATGTTTTGACAGTGAGCGAGAGTCTTCAATTAATATGCAATTAAACATAAATGTTTTTGGAATGCGTGAGGAAGCCGGAGTACCCGGATCAAACCCAGACACGCATGGGGAAAGCATACAAACCACGCACAAGCTTGAGCAAAGATTGTAACCTGGAAATTCTCATCTGTGAGTCAGACATGCAAACCACTATACCATCATGCTACCAACAGTTTACATGTCAATCACAGTGGCACCTCCGAATGAAATCTTATTTTTGCCATGAATCTCTACCTCATTGAAACAATGGAAATCTGATTAATTGTGCGCAAGGTCAAACATTCACCATCATAAAAATTCCAGAACCTCAAAGAAGATTGGTCAATTGTATTTTAGCATTAACAGTTGTGCTATCAAAAAGAGACAATTTAAACAATAAAACAAAATAACACCACGAATAAGTAAAACTATTTGACCTTTGAGATGTGTGGTGGACTCTGGAATAGAGATTTCATGTTCGCATCTGCATAAACTATGTCACAAGAAGTTTCATTTCCAGTTTTATGGTCATCATATTTCTAATCTTTGCCATCACCTGTACCACAGACATGAACAATAAGCAAATATGACACACCCCCTTTGAGCTGCTTGCCCAAGGCAACAATTAGTGGGGGCAAAGTGTCAGTGCATTCCCCATTTGCTGAAAACCAAAATAAGAAGGATGCCTGCACACTGTGCTAAATAGAGACGGCGCCGTATAATCACAACAGGAGATAATGGAATAACAAAGGACCAGGAAGTAACCATCCACAGGTAAGAATATTTTACCATTTAAAAAAAAAGTTTCATATTAATGGCACGATTCAATGCTGACAAAAAATAAATATCATGACAATCGTTGGAGAAATCAGAATGATTTATTTTCATTGTACATGCATTGACTCCGAAGGGAACATTGACCCCACCAATATGGATGCCGCTTACTAGGTTCTCGCCCCTCTATTTGCATGCTAGTGTCTCCCACCAGATATTCCTTTGAGGAAAAAAAAGGAGATTGACAGAGGAGAGAGCGGGAGTAGGTCGAAATATTTTGGGAGATAGGACAACGGAAGTTATGATCGTGAGTAGTCTATCACATGGGGGGTGGGGGCGCAGTAAAGTTTGCTCCAACAAAGGAATAAAAGAAAGAGGGGGACTGAAGAACAACACAACTTATTATTTGTGTAAACAGGAACAGATAATTGAGTCTAAAATAAAACTGCCATGACGTCCACCAGGAAAAAGATGTGCTGCACTTTAAAGACTAGTTGTGAGGCTCCACTTCCAAACATGTTCTAAGAACCCCAGTAATCACCCAGTCATATTTTGTCTGGTGAATGACTTTGGTTTGAAGTCAAGGAAAAATCGTGGCAAGCTTTCAGAGGCAACATATGGTATTTGGCCCACATGCCTTGAGCTTGACACCTGTGCTTTAGAACCTCATTGAGGCAAAGTTTCATGAGAGAACATTTTGGTTAGAATTGAGGTTGTATCGCTTTTAGGGGTGTTCCATGTTGGATATTCCACTGTGTATACATCTGAGGGTGATTAGGAAGTGCGCTATATATTGCACTTATTTCTGCACGTGGAAATAAGGTCCAAGCTATTACACACAAGCCTTTCTGACTAATGTGCACACTTCCTGCACTTTTTTTTACTGTTATATTTAACCCACAGGATGAGGTTTGCTGCCTTTGTGTGCACATCATCATGGGACTTCAGTTATGGGCTCCATGGTGTTGACTCATGCTGTTTTTCAGCTGCAGTGTCTCTTCAGCTAATAGTGAGTGGAGCATTGAAGAAAATGGATCATTATCTTTTTTTTTTTTTTTGCGATAGATACAATCAAAAACAATCATTACTATATTCGTTTTGATGTATACTTTCTTTATTTCTTGGCACAACATGCAAATGAGAACGACGCCAGTGAACGTTTAGATAGCTTAGGGCTACCCTTCTGTTAAACTAACATTTGTGCTGTTCCTCTGCAGGCACACCTCCCCTAGTATGTATGATGCAAACCACCACCGCTAAGCCGATGACACAATTGATTGGTCTTATCTCTTAAAATGTGCACTTTGCCCTCCTGTTTACATTGACAAGATAAACTGCAGTCAGACCTGACTCGACGCCGCGAAGCCATGTGATGTGTTGATTTTATTAAACAAAAAAAAAAAACATAACAGTCCAGTCCAGCAAAGTTAATGTTTAAACTATGTGAACAGACCGTATGTGTGCAATGGCTGATATGGTGAATAAATTTATAAACCACGTTGTGGTGAACTCAAAATCTAGCCCAGTAGCCGCCGCACGTGTATCCTTGCGGTTCAGACAGCATACAGAGGATGCAATCAGTAACAGTCATTTGTCTTTCTTGATACTTCCAATATTGTATTAAACATTCTATTGAATTTGACTTTTACTGTGCTGACACACCTCCTGTTGCAGGACACTCAGGTCAGGCGCTGCTCAACCACCTGTTGCTCATCAAACAAGACAGCCGTCGCCGATCACTCACCGAAATGTTTGGTGGAGAAAAAAAAAACACACACACACACACTTGAATGAAAATTCACACTTACTTCCATAGCGTGGCTTGTGTTGAGCAGCCGTTTCTTCATTATTCATCCTGCCTCGTTTCCCTCCAGCGCTTGTCAACGCGCTGATCAACCAACAACTCTTTAAGATAAAGTCCAAACGCACGATAAGGTGTGCCAGACGACTTAAATAAAGCTAAATTAGAAGTATTTATGAAACAAACAAAAGAAACCACTAAGAACAGGAACAGAAGTCGTTAGAACTTTCCCTTGTGACCACCAGTCCCCATTGTGTGCGCCCCTTTTAAGTGACTCCTCCACAAAGTGACTATGATCTTGAAAGTAACGTAAAAGGTTCAGACATATATGGGGAAGACAGGAGGGGAAGTGACAGCTCCTTTTCGCCACCTCCTGGTAAATAAGTGGCATTGTGTAGCATTCAGGGCCTGGGCAAAAAAAACGGAAACACTGCAACTCAATCGATATGACTATTAGGGCTAAGGCCAAAAATCCTGAAAATCAGTGGTGGAAAGTAATTAAGTACAAACATCTACTTAAACAGATTTCCCGGTTATGTGTACTTGTGGGCTCAAGCAGTTTAGCCAAATCGGGAACTCTATTTTTCCCAGGTTATGTTTTTCTATCATACCCACTTCTACTTGACTTCCGAGTGTCAGTACTTTTGAACCTCTATGTCCTTTGTCGGTAATAAATTTGAAAATGAATGTTGTAATCACAAGTGGTACCCACACCAGAAAAGAAACATAGACGAATTGATTTATAATTACAGTGTGTTTTTAAGAGTGAATGCTTATACCACTTTCGTTGAATGTGTAAATGAAAGTAAAGCTTTCATGAACATTTAAAAGTTTAATTTATAATTACATATTTTTTTCAAAGATAAACAACATTTCAAACTCTTTCAATTTGTCATTCTTCCAACTATTCAATGTAGCCGTTAGGTGGCAGCATTTGTTAATCAGAATTATATGTTGTTGATTCCTGGCGGAATTTTTTTGTCACGCTGCACTGCCTGCTGGACATTATGACTCTTACTGTGCAAACAGTGGCATAACAGTGGCGGAACACTATAAATCTATAATGTTGTAATATCTCTAGCTCTGAATGTGTCCTGTTAAGGGCCGGCCAGGGGATCGGCAGTTGTGATATGAATGTCTTAATATTTTGTTAGATGCTATTTGTAAATATAGCAGTGCTATATGGAACAGTGCACTAGTCAAATACGAAGGCCTCCTGCATTTGAAACACATCGATAGTGGATTTCATAGTGGATAATTGAACTAGACTGCAAGCCACCTGCGGGAAATTACTGTAACTACATTTGGCAAGTGCTCGAATCAAATGTAAAATTATTTTATGTGGTTCCGTATAATACTTATGGGGGGAAAAAAGATACAATGCATCATTTGCAAGAGAACCTAATTTTTATTGTATATATTTTCAAAAGCAACACAGACTGCAATTCCATCCTTTTCGCTTGACATATTTTCACACTTCAGAACAGCTACTTGCAGCAATGAGTGAGGCCCAGAAGTCACAATGATACACGCAACTTTATTGTCCACATACATTTGATTGCCTCCATGAAATGGCTGGACAGAACTCACAAGATTGATACATTCACATTTTTCTTCAACAAGCATCAGAATATTGCCATCTTTTTCTGGTGAAAGAGTCAGAACAAAAACAAAAATTCCACATAATAGAGTTTCTACATGCAAGCGCACGCACACACACACACACACACACACACACACACACACACACACACACACACACACACAGGGATATGGGAGTGGGAAAGAGTGGCGGTTTTATACAGATTTGAAGCCAAGGACTCACAATGATGCACATCATGGACGTAGCAGCCGGCACACAATGCAATCAAAACCATATTAATCCCACACCTCCACTAATAACAGCTTTGATTATGTACATTATTTACACTCTGGAATGCACACAGTTACACGCAATGATGAAATACATACACATGCATGCTTCCACACACGCATGTGCGTACACGCACACGCTCACAAAGATACAGTACGTTTAATAAATACTCCGATACATCAAACAAAATAAATTTCACAAAATTAATCTCTCTCCAACAGGTTGATCAGCAGCTCGTCATGGCATGAACATATCTGGCTTATCTTGCAACTAAACATATTGGAGCCATAATGGAAGCAACATTGTTTTTGTATCCGTGCATTTCTGTAACAATTGGGGAACATATTTTATCTTTACTAAAACTTAAAATATATGGTGACATATGAGAGCACGCTTGATGTGTAAGTAAATTTTGAAAGTATAAAAAGTGGTGGGATTAAACGGGTTTTGTCGATTATTAAGTGTACCTAATAGTATTAGATCAATTGGAATTGACTCCTCATACAGGATGAAACATAGAATCACAGAATATATATATATTCTGTCCTACAACCTCAAGATACCACATGACTATGGGTAGACTGCTCCAGCTCAGGAGAGGCACGTTTAAAAAGGCATTCAGTATTTGTTTTTTTTTTTTTGTCATGATTGTGGGTAACTGCCACAAGCGAGCTACATAAAACAAAATCAGAGCACTAAGAGTTTTTTTTCTTCTTTTTTAATCATAATTTTAAACTGTTATTCATGAGACAAGGCTTGGTTTCAATGTATGGCTCAATCATTCCAATGACACAGGTGGAAACTATATTGTCAATTGACAAGGGAAAGGTTATTGGTAAAAGAAAAACTACTATGTATGCCTTTTTTTTTTTTATTCAGTTGGTAGATAATGCAAAGGGCTTGGTAGCCCACATCTACTTTAGAGAAGTTTCAGACCATGTCAGCAAATATTGGGTAGAGTCCAAGCTGAAAGTGTGTCGATGTGTGAGCTTTCATGTATTTTTATGTTGCACCTGTCTGCACTCTGCCTGACCATCTGCAACATGTTAGGTGTTTGCGGGTAAACCAGCTGCCGTGCATCTGCGTTGCGTGTCCGCTCTGTCTGATCATCTATTCCCTCCGTTATCACACAGCAGGTTGGCTGAGCTCATTACAGCTTGTTTTGCACTTTTCTCCCCATCTGGCTCCTCTTAATAAGACCACTAATATTAAAAGCCTTTAGTTTAAGCAATGCGCTAACACCATAGAAGATGCTGGCTGGAACTGGGGTCCCTCCTTCAACAAAATTAAACCAAACTTTTAGTCGCAAATGTGCAAACATCAGCCTTCTTTTGCAAAATCCCCCCATAAAACATGCAGTAAATTACTAATTAACTTGCGAGGAATCTTGCCCTGACGAATGATTTGCTCTAATTGCTGCACTGCTTTACTGACTTTATAAGCTAGCTACGTATGATTAAAGCAGTCAAGATAGATTGGATATAAAAAGTCGAGATGCCCCTTTAAAATTGTTTTTTGTGATGTAAGAATGAGACTAATGTCAATCATTTCAAAACTTTTCACACCATTAATATAACCTTTTACACAACCCAAAAAAACACATATTTTGGGGAATAGAAGTACAAATAAACAACTCAAATAATGTGGTAACACCCTCTGGTGCAACTGATGATGTGGCTTTGTGCAGAATTAACCAGTTGCTTTCAAACTCATTCAATTGCAGTCAAAACCCAAATGACACCATTTAAAGTGCCGCTGATTATCCAAATAAAGTTCAGCTGTTCTAGTTCTTTTCCTGACAACATTTGCTTTGTTGAAGGTAACACTAACACTGACCGGTGTTAGGAACTGTTCATAATTCCCTCCACCTCGGCAATGACCCTCCCTAACCCCATGTGAAGGAATGTGTTGGTGATGAGCAGTGATGTGTTTGTGCCAAACCTAAATTTTGGAATGATTGTCAGAAAGTTCAAGCATTTGGGACATTCCAGCAGCCTCTTCAAGGTTGCTGTCAGTCTCTTGACAGCCTTCCTGACAAGTTTTCTTCTTGCCTTTTCAACAACTTTGAAGGGACAACCAGTTCTTGGTAATGTCACTATTGTGGTATATTTTATCCACTGGTAGATGATCTTTAGCGTGTTTTATTGTATAATTAATGCCTTCATTGGAAAATTCTTTTGCACCCTTTTCTAGACTGATAGCTTTGAAAAAAAGCTCTCTGCGGCACATTGCTTGTGCGCTAAGATGTGACTACAAAACAAGAAAAGCCTACTAGAAGAGTCGAAATTTATTTGGGGTAAGCCAGAAGCATTTTAAATAGATGCAGGTCAGTGCCGACTCCCATCTCTTTTCTTTTTTGATCAGGTCAATCTTTTATTTTTACCTCCCTCTCTACACTATTCCTTTTTGTCAACAGACTTGCACAGGTTATTGACATTAATGGTGGAAAAAACTTTTGAAACGACATAGCTCGGTCTCATTTTTTTACATCACAAAAATCATAGCATAGCGTCGACTTTTTATATCCACTGCATGAAAGATCCAAGCCACTTAAACTCTTTTCCCGAATGATCTCTTAGCCCCGTAAGCTTCATGTTTTATCTAGGTTGTACTATGAAGCTGGTATTACATGAGGACATTTGCCCTGGTATCAGGCAACCGAAGGCCGACCAGACCTCCCCCCACTAGAACCGATGAAGCCATCAGGATGGGGATTGCTTTTGTGATGCCAACCAGAGAACCGAAAATCAGGTTCCCCAATACTGCAGCCATCTTACACAGGGCGTTGCAGAATCCAAAGCCTGTTCCTCTGCAGAGAGATTTGGGAAGAAGAGGAAAAAAAACAGAGAAAGAATAAGAGAGGGGTCTTCAAGAAATGTACTGTGTGTAATTTGTGTCATCGCTGACTATACAATTTTGACTCAGGTGCTTTTCAAAATGTATAAATGGCTTGATATTTCGTCAACCGGTCAATTGTAGCATTGATTGTAATTTAAGGCTACCTGTAAGATTCAATCTTTAGCTCTGACATCTTGTGTCAGAAAAAAAAAATTCAAATCAATGCATTTCTAGCCCTAATTTGGGTTCAAACCTATAGGCCAAGATGGACGATGCCCTGTACAGTATTACAGTATGACTAATCATACCCTTACCTCCTGGCAGTGGGAAAAGATTCAGTCGTGACCACGTCCAGAGAGTTCCAGGCAGAGATACTCAGGCCATTGTAAAGGCACAGCATGAAAATCATCATGGACTCACTGGTGCCAAACCACAAGAAGAAGCAGCTGATGCCCGACAACACCATGGAGCCACCTGAAGCACAAAGACACAAAGCCCATCATAAGGAACCACGAGGTACTTTCATGAAGGTGATGCTTGTTGCGATCCGGGCTTCGAATTAACATGTCTGTCTCCTCACTCGCCATGACAGCGGATGGATGATCATAATTTGAGAAAGAAAACCCTTCCTAACCTACCTAACATGGACAGACGGCCTGTTTTATCCATGAGAAGAGCAGACACGATGTTCCCCGGTAGAACGGCCAAGGTACCCAAGAAGTTGATGAAGTAAACCCAGTAGGCGCTGTAATCATCATCAAATGTCATCTGGCATCCGGTCTTGTTGTGGGTGAACGTGCTGTTGACCACCTCGGTGCCGTCGATCAGCTTTGAGTCGTCAATGTCTGCACACGCACAAACAACACTTCATCAAATCACAATTTCACCCAGAAATGAGACAATAAGAACCCGCTAGAAGCATCTCACCTGTATTAAAGAAGAATGCGACGATGAAAGTACAGTTATGGAAATAGGATCCCACCGATGTGACGTCGTCAAAGTAGCAGTTGCGAAAGGTGGAGTCAACAAAGGTGACGGATTTGAGTTTCATGTTGGTGAATCTGAATGAGGGGGGGAACAATCACAAAGTCAGTCCTTTACTTCTTACTTCTATAACTCTAAAGGAATTTCTCAAGCCCTTCATTTGAATACAACCGATAAACACCAAAAAGAGAAAAACAATACTGCTATTGCAGAAAATGGAAAACCTTCAAAACCCGCTAATCTCAGTGGCCTACCGATCGTTGATGAAAAGTCCGTTTTTGTGTATTTGGTTCTCTAGGGTAAAATTGAAGGTGAAGTCTTCGATGCGTTCGTTGTTGTGGATTTGTACTTTGGAGGCGTATTCGTCTGCCTGGAGGTGTTTGATGACATCAGGGAACCAGACAGACAGACCGTAATACCTGCAAATCAGAACAATATTTACGATCTAAAGACCCCAGCAATTTTCCACGTTGTTTTTACTCCCCGACAGCCTTCGCTATTATCTGTCTCAGCTCCAACTGAGAAGTATTGATCCCAAGATAGTGATTGATTTGGCCAATGTGCATCTTCTCAATGTGGAGAGAGCTCAAGATGACAGATATGCAATTGCTAATATTTGACTGAGGAAACTGCACTTGATTCTTCTCCAGCGCAAATGACATTAGAATGCTCACCCGAAAGACAGCGTGAACCACACTATGGCGAGTCGCATCATATTTTCTCGCATTGGGTAGTTGAAGCACTTCATGAGATTCAGGTAGATCTGAAGAGGGACAAGAAATGAATTCTGCCGTCAGCCCAAAGACAAATCTGATACGAGAAAAATGGACAGAAAATAAAGCGCTGAAAGAACACACCCCGTGGATTTCAGCCTTCATCCGGAAAACAGCCTTGGAAACTGGATTCCCGGTTTCCGACTCCAATTCGATCAATTCATCAAGCTGCTTGGGGATCTTTATCCTGTTAACCTGAGAAATAAATAAATGACAATAAGCAATCGTTTTGTGGGAATTGAAATGGACTACTTTTGATTCTTGATATTTTATGGGGATCGTTTCTTCTGAATGCACCTCAGTAAAAATAATGTTATGCATGGTGGGCAGCTGGTTAGTACATCAGCCACACAATTCAGAGGTCATGGGTTCAAATCTCCTTCCTGTGTGGAGTTTGCATGTTCTTCCCATGCCTGTGTGTTTTCTGTTACAACTCAATTTAATAGTGTTATAATTTGTTTAACCTATCTGTATGTAGATCTAATTTCAGTATACTAAATGCAGTGAGAATTCTGAATCTACCTTCAATGTTCGCTCTTTTTAAGAAGTTCATTGTCAATGATTTTAGCGGTGACAAATATTAAAACCTGGGGTAATTCAGCTTTTCTCCAATGCAAAATGAAAATGATTCCACGAAAGCTGATAGCATCAATATTTTAACTACTTAACATGCAGTTCTGGTTGCAAATAAGCCTGAATGACACAGAACTGCTTTGAAAAAAAAATGTCATCACGCAGATGTGATCCCTCTATGAGAGCCAGAGGGTGTTAAAACCTGTCCCAGCTGTGGCAGAAAATAAGCCTCTTTGCTTCCTTTCAAGCATCAAAAAACCAAACCAGAGCGGAGCACCAGGAAGAAATAAAACTCACGCTGAAGACTTTCTCCGGCTGCCCACGCGCTCTCATGTTGGTGTCGTGGATTTGTTTGAGGATCATCCAGGCTTCATCGTGCTTCCCCACCTGTCAGCAGGCAGCGCGTCAGAGAAAGAGAAAAAAAAATTACATTTGTGGCATCAGCAGCAGCTTACTAAGCAACAGCAACAGTTTGGAGTAGTGTAGTAGTGCTGCAACAGTGATATTGCATTGAATGAAAATGTTGAGAACACAACATATTGCAGAGTCGGCAAGATTTTCAGGAATAATTTCAAGCTTGAAATTTTGGTTTGTAAGCAATTTGCGGAAATGCGCAGATTTGTACCTCAAGGTAAAATCTGGGGCTTTCGGGCATGAAGGTAAGCGCGACCACGGCGCACACGCAAGGCAGAGCACAGACGACCACAAACACTCTCCAACTGTGGAACTGGTATGCCGAGCCCATGCTGAAACTCCATCCTGCAAACAGCGCACGGTATCAGTGGCACTCGGAAGGGACTAAAAGAAGAATCTGAGGGATTAGGACATGGGATAATATCAACCAATATTCATTCGACTAAGAAACACCGTTTGCTTGAACAATTTGGACATTTTGAACAGTCAATATTAAATACATTGTATATTGTTTAATTTTCTTTTTTTGATGTGTCACATACAGGGAAACACGCGACGAGACCATGGAGAAATAAACACAAGACACATTTGACACAGCACAGTCAAGGTTGTGGATAGATACTGAAGAGCTCTGAGGCACAGAGACAAGTCAACCATGGACTGGGTTTATTTTGCCAAGCGCCACTATGGCAAAAGCATGTAAATTAAGAGGCTGCACTTTATCTGCTAAGATCATATTGCAAACATGGAGGGACCATAAATTATGTGAAAGAGGGCTGGAGATGTTTAGCATTAGGAATGAATGTCTTTGATCCAACAAATGAACTGCGATCAGTTAATTGATTGTGTTGGAAAGAAATGGAGTGCTTTTAGCTGAGTTAAATTTTATTGCACCTGATCTTGGCCTCTGAGCAGTTACCTCATGTATTATTGGTATATACACACACACACACACACACACACACGTACATGTGGTGCAGGTGCAGACATCTAAATGATGTACAGTGGTACCTCTACGTATGAAATTAATTGGTTGTGGAAGAAATTTTTCAAGTAGAAAATTTTGTAAGTAGAGACGCGTTTTCCATGTAAATGCCCGAATTCCGCCCCCAATTGTATTTGTATTGTATTTTTACCTTTCATATCTTGAAGTTTCTTTCGTAACAAGAGGCAATATTTTCCTGTTGAGGCATTTTGTAACTTGAAAATTTTGTATGAAGAGACGTTCGTAAGTAGAGGTACCACTGTACTAAAAACAAAGAAAAGATATATCTGGCCAATGGGCCTATTGATACATGAGGGGGACATTAACAATACTCATTTTATTATTGAACCGATAAAATTCCATGACCATCCATCAGTCCATCCATCCGTGCACCCATCCATCCATCCGTCCATTATCTGAACCGCTTTTATCATCACGAGGGTCATGGGCGAGCTGTAGCCTATCCCAGTTTAACAAAAATGAATAACCATTGATTAAAATATTAACATAAATTGTTCAACTCAAACATAGTGTACGTACTCTTTTTTGCCTGTTTACATACAGTATGAAATAAATCGGTGCAGTGATTGAAGCAAATATCTTGTGTGCTGTGTGTAAACTGTACAAACGACCAGCGACAAAACACCAGTAACAACAACTTTAATGTGCTGTCACTGCCTTTGGTTTTGTGAGGAAATCAGGAAAAAAAAATAAAAAATCATGCAGCAGTGCCAGCCGTGACCTCCCACGTCTCTTGACACATCGTGCCTCATGGAGATGCTTCTCCACGGGGAACAGTGCCATTATCCATTACCAGGCGTAGGTGGTAGTCAGGAAGCTTGAGGGGGATGCTAGGGAGGGGATGGGTTATGACAAAAATGTCTTCTGAGGATTCATCTCAAAATATAATCTGCTTTAATAGTGATACACTCACTGCTACTTTTCTAACCAGTCGGTTGATTATTTATATAGAATTTGAGAGGATACAAAAAAATGGTCGAGATTTATTTAGACAAAATATTGTCAAATTTACCTAATCTCACTTTTGATTGATAACCACTCAGGAATGAATTTTTGTATCCAACTGTTACTTTTAAAACAATGACTTTCACACGAGGTATTGATTCTACAGAGTAAATTGGCCTTTTGTCCGACTGCTTTTATTTCTTGATTGTCTTCTTCCGCGTGCACAGAGCAAGTGATACGAAGAAACCGAGAAAGGATGGAGTTGTTCAGCAGTGATTGCCTTTTCTCCAGAAATGGAGCTTAGCTTCTTTCACCCTCAGGGTTTGTGTTTCACTCACGCTATTGGAAATCTCATTACTCGGATTCTGTACATAATTGACTATGTCTGGTTGACCAAATCAGCTCTCCTTCACCACTACGACTCCTGCTTTATTTACAATTACATACATGTCGTCTATTCTCTTCATTTTGTTACATATCTCATTTTTCCCCAGATGTTTTTGTAATTTTAATTTTTTTTTGTTTTTCCTTGCCCTCCTGCGGGTTAAGATCAGGGGGTGTCGTTGATATTTGTCAACTGTGGGCATGTGAAGCCCTTTGAGACTGTTTGTTATTAAAGGCTATAGAAATAAATGTAACTTTACTTGACTTGACTTGACCCTTATCCGCACCACTTTTAGCATGTCAACGTAGATGCCCAATTTGATTTTAGCCTTTATGTGCTGCCATGTCAATTCAATCTGCCTAGAACTTTCACAATCACTTAAACAATATTACCAAATGAACTGTTTTTTTTAACCACCTTCATGACGTCAGCATTTTCTGTCCGCTCAATGACTAGTCGGGGCAAAACTCGTTGCCGCCAACTTCAGCTAGCAAAACACTCTCGCGGTCTGCACACATAAAAACTGTCTCTGTTGAGTACGATGTATTCTGCTGAAATGATTTGTCATTTTATTAGATAAATATTAACTCTGAACTGCTCCAGATGATGTACGTGGCACATTTTCATGCAGTTGTATTGTTTGTACTGTATTCATGGTTTTCTATTTTGATGTGATAGCAGTGGAATTAAGTGGTGGGTTGAGTCATTTAAATCCTTACTGAAGGCACAGTTACCAAATACATGATCTGCCGTCGACTCACACACACACACACACACACACACACACACACACACACACACACACACACACACACACACACACACACACACACACACACACAAATGCTATCACAGGCTGGCCAAAGCATGGTCTGGCCATAAATCATCTCGAGCACGAGCTTTGTCCTGGTCAGGCAAGGAGAAAAACCTAATTATGCTTGATCAAGAAGAACACTTTGTCAAGATGGGGAGGAGAGAGAGAGCGAGAGGAAGGAGAGGTAATAAAAGGAAGGACAGAGTTAGAGAGAGCCAACAAAACAAGGTGAGGAGGGGCTCGATGGAAGATGAAAGGTTTTAAAAAAAACATGAAAATATATGGAGGAAATGAATTAGAAAGCTCTTCTAGTTATTTCATGAATATCCATGGGTGATATGAAATGCAACACACTGATGAAATACATCTTCCACTCTGGCAAAGTGTCCGCTCCGAAGCTTTCATGCATAAAGTTAACCTTTTAAACCTCTGTACTTTGTATCGTGGGAGCAAATCAATGCTATTAGGTGATTGTGTCTGCAGAGACATCAGTGCTGTGTAATATCTCATCAAGTATCAGTTTAACTTGATGCTTTTAGGCAATGTTTCCCAAGCAGTGCGCCACGGCACACGTGTGTGCCGACAGAGATCAGCGACGATGCAGGAAATTATCCAAACATTATTATTTATTTTCATTAAAAATATATCTTTGTTCATCTACACTCATTGAAATAATTATTAGACCATCTTCAATTCCTAATTCATTCAATGCCTGGTAACATGAAAGATGTTCCATGTGACTAACTGACAGAAAGGAAGATATGGATTGTCTGTACGTGCTGTTGTTGGCAGTGTAACGCGGTTTTACGCGAATTTTGTTATTATTAGGAAAAACATAGAAAATGTCTCGGACAATCAATTTTGTGGATGTCAAATTTAACAGACGCAAAATCGTATCCAATCCAGTCAAAACGTCATACAGTAATTATACAGTAATAGTGAAAGTGTGTTAGTTCCAGATTTGGCCACTGCTGATTACTGGCGCTGTGGCTCAACTAACGGACAGAGACTGGTTCACGTATTTCAGGGTTGTGACTGTTACAATACAGACTGGATCAAGGGGCAATTTCTTTATGGATGGCATCCAATTGTGATGTCCTAAGTTGCCGGCTCTTGAAAGTGACCAGTTGCACACCATCATAACCTCCACAATCACCAGTGGAAAAAAATAATTATATAAAAATATATTTTGAATCATTTTGCACTGTACTCTGCATTTTTAACCCTCAAACACCGCAGCAGTTAAACAGACAATCAGCTTGAACAGATGACCCCTCCCACCTATTAAATGGAAGCTCCACTGAAGCTTTTGTTGAACCAGGTAAATAAAATTAACATGACACTGAAGTGTCAAGGCTGGGCCAGTAATTTTTCCATGACTGTATTTGTGCCATCAGTACAGATGCAAACAAATGCTCCTACATAAAAAAAAAATATAAAAAAAAAGTCAGGGTATGGAAGTAAATTTGTGAGTATATTGAAATCAGATTTTTCTGTATCTCAAAAAACTCATAAGTCAGGTCGCTCATAGCCGACTCTGGAAAAAGTTTTTTTAAAAATCTATACTGTATATACAGTTTTTTCAAATCTGTACTGTATATACAGTGCATATCTTCAATCTGACTTATTCCAGCGAGTGTGAGGTAAACTCACCATAATGCGGTATAATGGCCCAAGCCATGGCGGATGCGTAGATCTCGCCAATCATCCAAAACATACACAGCCAGCTCAGGTGTTCTCCTCTTTTCTCCCTCGATAAAACCTCTGCAAAGAAAGAGAAGACAATGGGCACTGCACCTCCTATCCTGCAAGAAGCACAGAAAAGTGCAAATTAGAGATTTTCAACTGGGACACGCAGTAGCTGCATGAGCCGTTGCATGTTTTTTTTTTCAACCTTAATTTCATGATGTGAGTTCCTTAATGAAAGAATGGGGCTTAAAAGGCTTTTCGATCACAATATTACTTGGATTACAGCACAACGTGACACACACTATACAACCTGCCTTGACATAAAGGTTGCAATGACAGTTTTTAATTACAGTAAGCTTCAGCTGCAATCACTGCAGTAATTCCGAAAGGAACAGTTACAACATCACTACATTAGTATACATATTTACTATTGTAGTGAGAGGAGATTTCTCTAACCATTTACAGTCTGCTTAGGAACCAATCTTAGAAAAATACATCATGTATTTTATGTTATTATTATAATTATTATTGTTGTTGTTGTGGCTGTTGATTATGATTACGGTAAATTCAATAAGGTGCATCGGATTTGTACTGATAAACCCTTGTTGGACAAAACACTGGGTAAAATGCACAATCTGAAGCGATCCGCCAAAAATGGTATTGCTCGATTTTGATTGACACCATTTACTTTATTTATTAGATTTTGCACTACGATTCAAACCACAATCACAATCCATTCATACTCAAATCTAAACCCGTGGGCAATTTAGCAATGAATTTTTGAAACATGTTTGGCGGATTTTTGGATACCCGTACAAAACCCACGCAAACAAATGTGGAAAATCCAAACAGGGCTATTCCAACAGAGATTCAAACCCAAATTCTCCTGGCTATGTAGTGGATGTACTCACAACTTGTTCCCTAGGAAATCAACCACAATAATATACATAGCGTCGATAAATGAATACGTTTCTGACATCTGCAAAAGAAAAAAAAAATCATCTTAAGAACATCTTACACATCAATTTTTCAGGTGTATATCACGTTTGAGAATGTGTATTTTCTTCGCAATAAAACTGTATAATTCACAGTGCATTGCACCTGCAGTGAAAGTAGATGTCTCAGGGCAAAACATCTGATCTATATTTAAAGTGTTTTAAAGTCCTTGTGCTGCTGCGTAGTTTGAATTAGGCTTTAAGTGATCATTAAATGAAATCGATTGCAGCTTTTCGTCAGCAAAGGGAGTAGTAACGAGGATGGAGACCGCAACACTTGATACAAAGGGATGCCAAGTCAACACGAAAATGCACACATCACTGTCTTGACTTTCACAAATCATTTCAGCAAAGAAATTGGCGCTCGCGTGACCCCGGATCTCAGCAGTCTTACCCGAACCCTGCGGCGAGGCGACAAACAAGGAAGACGCCGTAACCCTGGACAAAAGACGACAGGAAGGCGAAGAAGCCGTTTGTGGACATGCAAATGAGGAGGCACTGTCTGCGGCCAACTTTGTCTGACATTCCTCCCCAAAAGAATGCGCCCAGCATCATCCCCAGGTAAACAATGCTCCCTGCAAAGAGAAGCAGAGAGACAGAACTTGACTTTCTTGTAAAAATCTTCCAAAAGAGTTGCGGTCTTTAGAAAGGTTATTTACACATAACAGGATTAATAATGCGTTCTTTGATGGTTTGTTGAAGGCAACGTGATTAGCTCCGATGGAAACTATTTCTGTAGTTTAACACTTTCAGGGACAGCGGTTACCACCGTGGACAGCTTACATATGTCATCATGTTACAGGGTGAATGAAAAGGTTACATGCTCCGGTGCATTCAACAATTTTTCTCAATGCATAGCGACTGCATATATAAACATCCTTTGTGCATATTATAACATTGTCTAAATCTACTTCTATGTCATAGACACTGAGCTAAGAATGGTTTTAGAATGTAAGTCTTAAAAAAAAAAAGACACACAGTTCTGCAGGCAAAATGTGAAAAATGAAAAGATAGAGAAACATTGGACTTGTGCTTCGATTAGTGCAGAATGTTCTTAATGGCTGAGTCCATATGGAAGCTGTTTTCACAACGAAACCATAGACTGCAACCATTTTCATCACATTATTTTCCTTTTTTTAAATAAGATGAGATCATTGGTCCATTGATCATCATGATTGCCATCTGAAGGGAGAACTACTTAATCTGGATAGTCTGGGTGGCAAACATCTGGTCTTGCTTGATATGCTGAGCTACACAATGTACATAGTGTATATGACCATGCAGTAAATTTTATTCACCCTCATTGCACTAAACCTAACGGCAAGGTGTCTTTACGCTCGATAATGTCTGCAGAAATCCTTGCTTTAGCTGAGAACAATACCTGTTGGGTCCCCGTAAAATTCTTTATTGTGCAAAATTTTACATGGGCTGCATTCGGAACAATGCGGAAACTGTGCATCATAAAGCAGAGAAAACACACACCTTATATCTTGCATCTTTGAAACTTCATCAAGGGATTTAGTGATATAGGCAGACAGGCGCCAAATTGAACAAGAAAGCACCTGCGCTCCCTCCTACATGCAGTGCATTAAAAGCAGTTGACAAATGAATCCACCCTACACAGGACAGTCAATTATGCAATGAATTTATCGATGTTCTCTCCAGCTTGCTGCACGCCATCTCGGCGCATGATGTCAGCAATGCTGGCCCCAATAAAGAGCAGGGCAGTACACTGTAGTGTCACATATACTGTAACTCAAAAAATAACATCACGGAACAAAGAGAGGTCTGTCGCTAAATGCTAAATGGCCAAAAGAAAGGTTGGGAGTCATCTCAGGGCAACCTAATATTGTTTTCTGTGTCCACAAGCAATGGCTTGTGAGTCTTGCAATTTCTCACTGGCCGCACTGCCTCTACAAGGATGATGCTACACAGTATATAGACAAATATTTCTGACCTTTTTAAAAACATGAGAAGGGAAATATCGACAGCTCTCTGTACCTGTATAATGTAGTGCAGCCGCTGCAAGCTACATCCACAATTAGTTTGCTTTGACAGTGTCAATGAAAATAATGAAGAGGTAAACATACTACAACAAAAAGTCATAATATACGGGGGGGGGGGGGGAAACGAAGAAAAAAAGGCACAAAATTATGACTAAAAAATGTATAACATAGCTACGATGAGGACTGCTGGGTTACCGCCTGACAAAATACTCCTCGAGTTGCCACATCAGCAGTACTCACTTGATTCATGGAACATTGCACCTTTTTTCACAAGAATTAAAAAAATAAATCCTGTTCATTGTAATGCTACTACTTTCCACTTATTGGATCAAATCAGGGTACCTAATGTTGTGGCCAGTGAGTGGGAAGAGTCTTCTTCCCATGGCGCGTAAAATAATGCAGCATTGCATCAGGCGGACATTCAGTGTATAGTCAGCTAATCAATAAAGAACATATTTGAAATGATAAAGCTGGACAGGAAGGCATTTTAATTAATGAAACTTCAGCACGTTGTACGGTTACACACTGCTGCTCCGCCATTGATTTCAATGAGAAAAAAAACCCAGAGCTCTTATGACTCTGCAGACAAAGAACAGGAACAAAATCGATACACATCAGCTCAGTTGAGGATATTTTAAAGACAAATTGCGGCTGACTGGAAAACCACTGAGAGGAAAACAAAGTAGCATTTCTGATACATTATGTAGAGAACTGTGTGAATGGAAGTAGCTCGTGCACAAGCATCATTGACGTGAAAAAAAACACTGCAGAATTTTTGATGTGGCGACCCGCATGGCCTTGGCGCGACATCAGAAAATGACAGTGTGTCAGAAGACTCGTCAGACGGAACCGAAAGGTTTTGGCCGATGATATTGTGTCAGCATGTCAAAACACATCAGTCACAAGGTGAAACCCATTCAAGGATGCAATGGAAAACACATAGGAAACACTGCACAAGAATGTTAATTCATCATCAATTCATAAAACAGCTAATAATAATCGTCAACTTTTAACTTCAACTGTTCAATAGTCCGGGTTCTCCATTGTCGTATTTTACGCTTTATAACGCACCCCCTTTTTTCAATGGACGACAGTTCTGGACTGCAGGCAGGCCAGTCTAGTACCAGCACGCTTTTATTACGAAAAAGCATTCTTGTAAGACGTGCAGATGTGGCTTAGCATTGTCTTCCTGAAATAAGCATTGGCCTAGATGAAAAAGCTTTTTTGGAATGTGTTGCAACCATAACATTCTAAATTAATGACTATTAGCTAAAAACGATCAAGTTTATCAGTTTGAACATTGCACATCTTGTTTTCGGGTGCATGCAACTAAATAAAGGTTGAGCATGATTTGCAGATCATTGTATTCTTTTTTTATTTATGTTTAACACGAGCAAACTGCACAGGGATCGGGTTTGTAAAACAAAGGCCATCTTTTTTAAGTAAAAATTTCTAGTCTTAATAATGTACTTGGAAACCTTAACATAACATTATACATTGTCTACAAATAAAACAAAAAAAAGCGTTTTTGGCATCATTGGTTGTCCATTGGTAAATTTGCTGAGGCCGTCACGTGTTACATAATGAATGAATATATAACATTATACATTGTCTACAAATAAAACAAAAAAATTCAGGGACCTGAGCTCTGCTTCAGACAATCTGCTGGGACTCCAAATGCTTTTTTTTTTTTTTTTTTTGCGTTTTTGGCATCATTAGTTGTCCATTGGTAAATTTGGTGAGGCCGTCACGTGGTACATAATGAATGAATATGAGAGAGGGAAACCACCATTTTAAATATTAGCGCCTAGGTGGATCTAACAATGGGTACGAAGGAAGTGAGAACGAAAAATGAGATGAAAAACTGTGAGGGATAAGAAAAGAAAGAATGGATTCTAATGTTTGCCTCCTTATTACACCCTGAGAAACACCCTCCAATTCCCTGGGAGAGTGGTGGGAGAATTGAGTTGCATTCAAGACTTCTCTTATTTCATGCTTTGATGCTCATTGCTCTCAGCATCAAGAAGTGCTTCAGCACCATGCAAAACAGCCTCCTTGCTTTATTCATACGTAATCTTAATACACCATCTAATGCAGTGCTCGTTCTCCCTTCCTTTTTCTCTCTGCACATGTCTGCTTTCGAACCTCTGCTTGATTCCATCTCTCAGCTTGTATCCTTCCTGGTATTATTAGTACGAACATGCTAAATGTAAACATTTTCCGGAACAATTTTGTGAAGACATAAAATACAGTGGAATCTTGGTTCCTTGCGCCCGTTATGAACTTGAAACATTCATAAATCAAGTTAATATCTCCCATCGTAACGAATGGAAAAGCACTTAATCCGTTTTAACCCCAAAAATGTATCCTTTTTTTTCTTTACACCCATGTGTGGTTACAAATAAATCTGATGTATCTGATGGAAATTTTCATTTCAACAACTAAATAAAATGAAAAATCTGAGTAGGTGATAGGTCAGCATGAAATGGAACAAAGCTGAATGATAGAGATTAATATCTCCACACACAATGCTAGTTTAACATTCTAAACAGTAACATCAATCCATCCATCCATGTTCTAATCCGCTTCTCCTCACAAGGGTCGTGGGCGTGTTGGAGCCTACCCCAACTATCTTTGGGCAGTACGCGGGGGAAACCCTGAACTAGTTGCTAGCCAATCGCAGGGCACACATTGACGAACATCCATTTGCACTCACGCTCACACCTAGGGACAATTCAGAGTGTTCTATTAACCTGCCATGCATGATTTTTTAAAATGCAGGAGGAAACCAGAGTACCTGGAGAAAACCCACGAAGGCACGGGGAGAACATGTAAACCCAACACAGGAAGATCCGAGCCAGAATTTGGACTTCTGCACTGTGAGGTGGACGGGCTCACCAGTCAACCACTGTGCCGCCCATAAACAGTCTTTTCTTCTTTCTCATACATTTTGTATAAATATTCTCACACTGAGAAGTAATTATGTTTGTTCTGCGTTATGGGTCATGCGTTGGATTCCCAGTTTTCACCTTCTGCCACCACTGCGGAAAAGCGATCAAAAGTCACATTAGTGGGAATGGGCTTCCAATCAAATCCACATGACAGTAGTGGGCCTTGAGTGCAGAGTTTAAAAAAAGAAAACAGATTTGTCAGCATCAGCCATGGTCCAGTCTCCATTACAGTAACAAGTGAAAATAATTCCCATTAAATCAAATAATGCCCAAATGGGAGAGAGTCATAAGATATGGTTGACTACCGGCTGACATTGCTGGCCAAGCCCCTTTGGCTCCACCACCCTGACGCCTTCCGCGCCCACACATATCGACATGTTGCCACCCATTGGCGGAGCTGCAGTGCACAAGTGCTGGTAATCTCTGCAGTGACGCTGTCATCTTACCGCAGTTTAGCTATGCTCAGCTGCTCTTGGACCCCGGAGCCCCACACAGAGGGGCTGGCAACACGGGTAAAAAAAATATGAGAGAGAAAGAGAGAGAAACAGAGAGAGAGGGGATAGGGACTCTGCAGATGGAGATGGCGGTTGATCATACAATAAAGAGCAGAGACTGGTACTAAGATGGGGACAGGGTGAAAAGACGATATCCTGAAAGTGAGTGGGGAGAAGGGTCTCTGAAGTGACAATGAAGATGAGGGGGGAGCGAGGGGGTGTATCATGGTGAAAAATATAGCTCACGAGAACCAATAAGTCATGAAAGGGTGGTGAGTTCTTCTTGTTTTACGTGCGTGAGATGATGGCAAAGCCTCTCACTGACAATGGTGGTGTGCTGAATAGCACCAGTGTGCCAGCATCCTGCTCTGATCCTCCCACTCCTCCCTCCCCATTACTCCTCTGAACTTGGTAAATCTCTCAATCTCGGAGCTCTCCCTCCTCCTTGCCGGTTCGCTGTTCACCACACAAGAGCTCATGGTGCACGTTTTATTCTCTGATCATACTCTTATTTAAAGTGTGTACTGCACTCACTACGAGCAAATACACAGCGCACCCCCCCCCACACACACACACACCTACACAAAAACAACACGTCCTGATACAATCAACATTCACGTTTTCACATTTCAAATAACTGTATCATCCAGTCAAATTCAGTCTGTGATACATTGAATATTTCATCATAAATAATACGCTTACCAGATACTATATTATTTATTTCATAATATATCTGTATGAGTGTATTATTGTGCTTATAGTAGTGTAGGACTGTATTGCATTGTCAGAGCTGCGTCTAATATTGGGAGTCACGTGTAGCTATACAGTCCTGTGCGGCTGTACCGAACGATTATTTTTATAATTGATTCATCTGTTGATTATTTTGCAGATTAATGAATAAATCGGATTAAAAAACAGGTTTTAATTTTCATCCCTGTATTCAAGATTTCAAACAGACAGTTCAGGAAACGCAAAAACATTCATTCTGATGTAGCTCTGTAACACGTCAGAAAATAGTCAAACGAGTTGATCATTGTTTTCCAAAGTAAAAGTCAATGTTTGCAAATGTCCTATTTTGAAAAGCACAAAGGTACCGGTAATCAGTCTGCTTTCACAAATAACTCCAGATGCTGAAAATATTTACTTTTCGGAGGCTGAAATTCTGAGGTGTTGGACACTTTTCAATTATACAAGGCATTCAAACGATGAATCATGATCAAAAATTATTATCTGTAACTATGATAAATGAACCCTGCGAATCCGGCTACAGTATTTTTAAGTCAACCAATTACAGAATGGCAATTTAAAATGGATTCGTTTTGCATTGCATTATGTGTTTGTCGCAATCAATGTATATTGTGATTATATTGCCGATAATCATACTACACAATATTATTCATCACAGCACGGCAATTATCTTGTTTTTTTTTTTGGGGGGGGGGGTTGTTGCCTATAATTAAGTGTATTAACACTGAAAACTCCTCACTGATGCCATCTAGGTGCTAGTAATCATGTAACGCACGCTATCTATGCTAAAACATACTACTGTACTACAATATATTCACATACATATACACCACTCATGTTCACCTAAACAGGGAGGAGCCTCAAGGCAATCGGTAGGGGGGACAAAGAGTGGAGAATGGGGGAGGACCACTCAATAAAAGAGAAGCATGAGGAAGGAGAGCGAGAGGGAGGGACAGAGGGTGAGGGATGGAGTCACGAACAAGGACGAGCTGAGCGCATCGAGCGTGAATGCCTACGAGACCTCGCTTGACTAGAGAGGAAGAAAAGCGCTTGCATGGATACTTGGAAAGGGACAGAAAACTAAAGATGTAACATCTCAACCATGGGGATAGAATGAAAGCCACAAAGACATCCAGTACGCTCGCAAGCGATAGTAGGTCACATAACAGGGCAAAGAGCTCAGATTGAGTTATTTCATACCTCCGTTTTCCTAATTCTAATGTCATTGCTTACTTTGCGATTTCTGTTCACCCCAAAGTTGTCTGAGGGGGTTGAAGTCATGTGCCTCAATACCAAACTCATCCAATCACATATTTGAGGACTTTGCTTTGGACACTAGATCAGAGTTGTTTAAACACCAGCAATTGGGGTCAGTGAAGCGCGAGGTTGATTCATTGCTTTGGAGAAGCGTCGTGACTTTGGATCCATAAAATCGAGAGTGGTAGCCTAACCACTGTGCGTGATGATGATGTGACCCAAACGACAGCATATCCTCAATGTACAGTACATCCCAAACTCTTTTGTGTGCCACTCTGGCACTCTGACACAGTGAGTGAGTGAGTCATTCCCTGTGCACGGCATTGTGATGATGGATTATACACCTACAGTCATCAAGACTGCTGGGGCTGCTGCTCAACACACTAGGACAGCAATACTTGCAAACCTCTTAATCCTGATAGCAGACTTGTGGACTTTTTTTTTCATACGTGACACAAATATAGACTGAAGCACGACATGCTTGCACACAGTACATGCAAGTGGCAGTAATCCTTTCGTTGCTTGTCAAAATCAGGTGTGGCTCCGTTTTGAAAGTATATTGGAGATTGTAGGGTTGCAAGTTCAGAAACCAGCTGTGGATTTAAAATATGGAGGACGGGACTGGTTGCTATAGAATTTCCATTCTAAAACTGTAAACACCATATTGGATTCATCCATTCATCCATCTAGTAATGTTTTTTTGTTTGTAGCTGGCAAAAGTAAGACACATGAAATGCAAACACACGCACGCACACGCACACGCACACACACACACACACACACACACACACACACACACAC